AATTCTACAGTTAGAAATTCACTAAATGGGGATTGAATGATCTTAATGGCCAAATTATAGGGGATAAAAATGCCAAATGATAAAAGACAACTTTAGTGAGCATATCATGAATTCTAAAATCTGTATAAGTATTACACATAAAAGTAATGTTTTTACTTTTACATAATTAATATATAAACTTGTAATTGTAAGTATAACAATAAATAACCAATACATAATTACGAAAAAATGAATTATAGTTTTGTTACGACTACAATTCAACCTTGCTAATTATTTAGTAATAATTTTCCTTTTATCTATGAATTTATTACTACAATTACTGAATTGCCATTGCTAAACAAAATTCTTTTGATCTGTGAATGAACAAACACACGCCTTTGCATTTTCATTTGTTATTAGGCAGCTGGAAAAATGTTAAATGTTTTTAAAATACTTTTAGATATATATATTCAATATTTTTAAATTCAAAAATAGATAATTAATAAAAATTTTTATTTGTAAAACAAGTTAAAAAATTATCATAATGTTGCAACGCATCTTTCCCATAAATGATACAAGTCTTTTTTACTGTTTGTATAGCATGATATCCTTTATGAAACTTAAAGAGCAAGCATAACATGCCCGATGTGCATTTTATCTGCAGACATTTCGACTTAATTTATTCAAACGAAATGTGATGTAAAAAAATTTAAAATAAGCTTCAAAACACAGATTACAATCTCACATCAGGAATAATGTGTTAAATTTCACAACTTATAATTACATTGCATATTTTTGTTAAGTAAAAACAGCGGTTGAAAAAAAAATATGCAAAAACTTTGTTGAAATCCCAATAAAATTACTATAATACAAGTCATATATTTGCTATTCTGTATTTGCATATATGTATTTTTTAACATTTCTATGATTTATGCATGCTAGGCTTTAAACTTCTTGATAAATTTCTGATAAATCAGATAAACATGATGATTTTTCTGTTATATGGCCTGATTTTCCTTTCCATTTTTACGTTGAACAGGTTCTGCTATATACAGGTAAATTTACATTACTTCTTGCAAAAAATTCAATGGACTGAAATTTTCCATTAATGACAGGTTTTCACCACATACAGGTTCCATTATAGACAGGTTTGGCTGTATTTAAAACCTGAAGATGACTGATTAAGATGGTTGAAAACACTTGTTTACATATTAAAGTTATCTTTTACTGAATTTTTTTTAGTTTTTGTGTGTTTCCTTATTTACTGCATCCAGCTATACAAGCTATATACTGATTTGTTTACAAAACTTTTTAAGTAATTATTTTCATATTATTTATTATTTCACTTATAAAATTTCAGAAAGAAAAAAAGCAATTAATTACTTTCTCTTCAGAGGCGTAGGAATTTTATGCATATGGAACGAAATGTAATAATGATTTGTGCCAATGTGTAAATATATAGCAAACAAACAAAAAATAATCCTGAAAATTGCTAATTTAAAAAAAAAAAAAAAAAAGAAAAACACCTTATATATGTAGCATTATAAATTGAATATATGCAGTATAATACAATCATGAGAAATATCACAATGTTTCTGGTCATATATTTTGATTTGCTGTCCAAAGTATTATCTACCAACAACAGACAATGACAAGTCAATAAAAGAAACAGAAAATATTTTATTTAAAAAGAAAGAAGTCAAATAATTGAAAGAAGCCAATTCAACTGAGAAATTAACAAAACATCAAGCTGTTACAGATTTTTGAAACAGCTAGATTGAATACAAGAGTCAATATGAGAGAAGGTAAACTTTTCAAATTTTATAACAGTGGCATTTATCTATTTTTATATATATATATATATTTTTTAAATATTTGTTATGTACTTTTTNAGAAATGAAGGTAGAACTGTCTTCGCTGTTAAATTAATTTAAAAAAAAAACAAAGAAAAAATTATATTTGAAAGTACTTTTGAAAAAATACAAGTTCATTTTCTGACAAAAAAATGGAAAAAAATTCAGTTCTTAACTGTAAAGTTTGATATGCATTACCACATTCTTTGGTATTTGGTTAGATATATAGTTTATGAGAAAAACAATAACTTGATATTTTTAACTATAATTAGACATATATGAGTTTCCTGAGCTTTCTCATTACAAATATATTATTTTCAATAACTACATTTTGATGTGTTGAAATTGCCAAAACTTATTCACTCAGCTAACATAATAAAGTAAGTTTGTTGTGTTTTTTAAAAATTAGCTAAGAAACTGCAAACATCTATATAGAATCTATTTACAGAATGCAAAAGTATAAATTTCAAATAATGGATAAATATTATTAATTTCAAACTTTATATAATTGCTGTTCTCTATTTGAATAAAAGACAGAATAAAGGAAAAAATGGTATGTATATTAACACATTCTATTCCAAATTAGTTAAGAACTGTTATTTATATATATCAGTAAACATAACACATACAGTATACACTCTACACTTTTATCTTTGAAACATTTGTTAACAAAATTAGTTCATTCACATTCTCTTAATACTAGTAAAATTACTAAGTCATTTTATAAATGTTCATGAAAATATTTTCCAAGTACTACCATCATGACAAAATTATATAATTAATTATTTGAATAAAAATAATAATAATAATATACTTAAGCATAACATCAAATAAATTTATTATTAATAATTACATGTATTTTATACATCTATTTATATCTTAGACCTATCGAAAATAATTTGTAGTTCTAATGACAAATTATTTGAACAGACCGTATTTGTACAGATGTTAACTTGTGCAAAACTTTAAATAAAACACTTCAAACAATGCAAGATATATTTATTTAAAACATTAAATACTTTAGAATTATTTTGAGCTCATTTCTGAAAAAATTTTCAAGTATTTTGGAATAATAAAATAAAGGGAATTTTTCATATATAAGCTTCTTTTTAAGTAATTGTTTGGTAAAGATCTGTTAATCTTCAATCCACAAAACTAGCGTTGGATACGATTCTTGTCATATTTTTTGTTGTCTAAATATTCACCAATGTAATAGTAATAAAACCACTTCTAGTTTTGAGTACTCTCAAGGACAATAGCCTACTTCCCTTTCGTCATACTAAATGAGTAAACTTACAAGTTATCATATTATTACTACTTTTTGAAATGCATCTCTTTTCAGTGTCATATCTGGTGCTGCCTTGTGATTTATGCAACAAAATAATTTCTCTTATAGTTTCAATATGACCGTCTAATCTCATTTTATCACACCCAAAGAGTTCAATAATGAAATTTTTAGACAAGAAAAGGCAAGTGAAGATGAGGGAAGTTATTTAAGTAATTGAAATGAACGATGCATTATTATTCAACGATAACTGTAATGATACCATTTACAGGTGATTTAAGGAATTTAGAATTTAGAAAGATATTTCTGATTATCTAACATTTTATGAGAGAGAGAAAAACAAGAAAAATATTTTTATATTTCATTGAGTGTGCTTCTTTGCATTACAGATAAATATCTTTATGTGGTTATGAATGTGTTTATTATTTCTTTTATTGTGATAATAAAAGTAATTAACATTGCATTAACTTTTACATTTGATGGTCCAATGACACTTAAGTGATTTTTCAGAAAAAATTTTGTTTTGCTTTGATTTTGGTCAAAATTTAAAAAGATGTATTTCATTGAATGAATTAATTTTCTTACCCTTACTCTTCCTTAAAAAAAAAAAGCCAAGTGCCATATCCCAACACTGTCTTGTGAAATTTGTCCAAGCAGGACACCTTGTGGAGGGAAGGTTTTGAAAAAAACATTCTTTAAAGAGAAACTATTTTCTAACAAACATAACATCTTAAATACTTAAAATTTCAAAAATAAAACTGTTGTTTTACTATTATTTTATTATAAAATCAAAAATAAAATTATTGATTATATACTGTTCCAAAAGAAATTTCATGTATGATTTTCAGATTAACTTTCCTTACCTGAAGGTATAGAACTTCATGAGAAATTCATACATAAAAATCTCAAAAATAAAACAGTATATATAAAATTGAAACTTTATTTGTTGTTTTTCATATGATTAAAGATTTAAAAATCAAATATTTAACTATTTCAAATCCCAAAAGTAACTCTTTTTTTTGAAATCAAACATTGAAGAGATGTTAATGGTATTGATATGAAAATTTAGATGCATAACTAATTATTTTATTAAGAATTTCAATATACTTTCCATAATAAAGAAACATTAAGGATCCACTTCAAATTTCAGTTGCACTAAGTTTATAAAAATTATGACATTGTAACAAAATATAACAAACAGTTACAAACAAAACAAATGTGTATGCATTATGTATGCTACAGAAATGGTTTTCTAAAGATTATCAACTAAACTGTGTCTTTTTTAAATAAAAGAATATATTGCAATCTTTCCTCTCTGAATGCAATATCTAATAATTTATCTAAAAAATTATCTTGACAATTGAATTGCTTCCTTACAAATATATTATTATTTCTTCACTAAATTTTTTATATATTTAAAAATTTATGTCAAATAAAACTTGCAAGTATCTATTAATAAGAGATACAGTGCTTGTATGCATGCTTTACCAAAACCAGATATTAATCGTGACGTTATCAGAGAGTATTAGCAATAAATAATACAATGCTATCATTAAATATTTATGATATTTATTTCTAGTTTAAAATGTTCGTAAATTAAAAACTCAGCTTTTCCTTAGCTTAAATGTGTTTCAAAATAAAATTTGAAATTAATATTTTGTAAAACTGAAATTTATAACTAACAATAATCACTAATCCTAGAATTCAATGTTTTTCACAGATCAGTATTAATAAAGATGAAAATCAACTATTAATTATTTTATAAACTCTCCTAGCTTATAAAATAAGTCATAATTAATAAATGTATGTGTGTATATAAGTATATATAATTAATATTCATGTAATTTTTTGTTTAAGTCAAAATTTTCATTTGCGTAACTTACAGTTGAGACTGTGGTTTACTTTCTGACTTCCTCCGCTTCTTGACTACATTAGAGACTACACTCATCTTAACCTACACCGTGCAGTTAATTTCATACAGGCTGAGCCTAAAAAAAAAAAAGTACAAAGGTATAATTAAATAACAAATCTTGACATATTATCAAATTAATTTCATTATAATTATTTAAAACTTTTTTAAAACTAATCAGACATTTCTCATGTATGTTCAAAAATATTTTTATTTACAAGAGAGATTATTTAACTTTAACTTTTTGTTTTCAATGTTTCTTAGAAACACACTATAATAATTTAATATTGGAAAGCAGTAAACATCTTTGTGAGGAAAGGAAAAAAAAATTCATAATTAATCCTATAAAGCTAACAAATCTTTACATTTTATACTACTGAAAATAATAATAAATCCTTACATATTCTACAATATTTTGATAAAACAACATAAGTTAACTCCAACAAACATGACAAAAACTTTAATAAGTTATAGAATATTTTCTAAATTCTAAAATATTCTCTCCATTTAAATTTTTTTACAAAAACATATATATAATACTTTATCAGAAATTATACAGAAGTATTATAATTAAGTTATGTTTAACTCAATTATTAACATTAAAAAATTCATAGTATAATATTAAATTTAAGTGAAACTTTAGGATCGTAAATGTAAAAGTTTAATAAATTTATATAATAAAATATTCATTCTGATTACATTTATGTTTAACTTTCTGTAAAGTATCATTTTTGGTTAATGTCTAAACTTCAGAAAGAGATTATTACTGAAGCATCAAAAATAATTTATAATATTTTTCAATATTCATGATCTTAAAAAATATTACACATTTATAATATTAAAAATTATTTTTGGAAAAATACAGAAACTTGCAATATAACCAAATAAAATAAGAAATTGAATTAGGAATGTACTGCGACATTTTCTCTAACATAACCTAATGATCATAAAACTAAAGTCATGAATGTGATTTAAAAAAAAAATAAATCAATAACAATTGTCCCTTTTAAATGATTAACTATTAAATAGAGACTACCAATGGAGATATGTAATTTCAAAGAAAATTCAAGAAATCATCCTTTTGAACTAAAGATTGTTAACATTCTTATTCAAAAAATTATGTTCTATTAAAATGTTGTTACAACTTTTACACTCAAAATTAAAAAAAAGTACTTTCACTTTGCTATGTTTACAGCAGATGGTTTTGGAACTATTACAATATTTGTTTAATGAAACTATAAATTAAAGCATTCACATTTTTATAAAGCATGTTTTTGTAACTATTCGGTTTCATTTGTAATTTCAATTTGTTTAGTTTATAAAGAAATCTAAATAATTTTATAGGAAAGAAACACAGAAAACATCTCATAACAATATAAAACATGATAATACTTTTACTTTTGGTGCAAGGAATGCACGATTTCTAGATTTTAAGTTTCAGCTTGGAAAAATAACCATTTTGTGCCAAATTATACATTAAAGAAACTTCCCTAATAGCTTATAGAACAAAATCTATCAAAAATATTGCTAATTATAGAAAATGGCTACACAGTTTCTCTCTAATTTCTGCTAATTTCAACTATTATGAAAATGCATCATGCTTAAAGTACAGAAGGCATGATTAAAAGATGTTTAGAAAGCTTAGGCAATAAAATATGTAGATGAGAATTCATTTATTGTTGGTAATTTATTGCAGATGCATAAAATGAGATTTTTAAGAACTTTTTATATTAATATAGTCTGAAGTACTTATATATAAAATATAGCCCAAACCTCATTAAAATTAACCATAATATAAAGAAAAACTGTTAAACTGCTTTATATTTAATACAACAAAACATCTATACACCTTCAAAGTTATAAAAGAGAGATTATTTAACTTTAACTTTTTGTTTTCAATGTTTCTTAGAAACACACTATAATAATTTAATATTGGAAAGCAGTAAACATCTTTGTGAGGAAAGGAAAAAAAAATTCATAATTAATCCTATAAAGCTAACAAATCTTTACATTTTATACTACTGAAAATAATAATAAATCCTTACATATTCTACAATATTTTGATAAAACAACATAAGTTAACTCCAACAAACATGACAAAAACTTTAATAAGTTATAGAATATTTTCTAAATTCTAAAATATTCTCTCCATTTAAATTTTTTTACAAAAACATATATATAATACTTTATCAGAAATTATACAGAAGTATTATAATTAAGTTATGTTTAACTCAATTATTAACATTAAAAAATTCATAGTATAATATTAAATTTAAGTGAAACTTTAGGATCGTAAATGTAAAAGTTTAATAAATTTATATAATAAAATATTCATTCTGATTACATTTATGTTTAACTTTCTGTAAAGTATCATTTTTGGTTAATGTCTAAACTTCAGAAAGAGATTATTACTGAAGCATCAAAAATAATTTATAATATTTTTCAATATTCATGATCTTAAAAAATATTACACATTTATAATATTAAAAATTATTTTTGGAAAAATACAGAAACTTGCAATATAACCAAATAAAATAAGAAATTGAATTAGGAATGTACTGCGACATTTTCTCTAACATAACCTAATGATCATAAAACTAAAGTCATGAATGTGATTTAAAAAAAAAATAAATCAATAACAATTGTCCCTTTTAAATGATTAACTATTAAATAGAGACTACCAATGGAGATATGTAATTTCAAAGNGTATGTTAAGTTAGAATCCATTTAATATACTATAACGGTAATTTATTATTAAAATTGATATTTATGATTTTTATTACTTCTTTGCAATATTCATATACTAAACAGAAATAAAGTCTTAACATAACCTTTAAATAATACTGAAGTGTATCATATATTTTTCTTAAGCAAAAATATTAAAGAAAGAGGTTCTGTTGTTATACAATATGTTATCGATAAATAGCAAGCATAGTGGGAGTTTTGATGACATCTGGGATATAGATAACACTCATATACAATTATATAAAATTATTGATTCTTATATTTATCATCATGCATTAACAATATCTAAAGCAAAAGAACTGATGATTTTATTGTAAAACAATATCCAGAAGTAAAATAAAATTAAATAGATAAAAATTTTGATGTTATTATGTACAGATGTCAGAATTACGTGACATTATATCAATACATAAATTCATGCAAGTAATTTTTGGCCCAATATATTTAATCAAGAGCAACCTATTATCTGCAATGAAAATTCATGTTTATTACGTAAATTTTTATTAAATCAATTTCAAAATAACACATTTGTATTACTTTAAATACGAGTTGTAATACTTTGTCATTAAGATATAAAAATTATTTTTCCACAGCTTTCATATTTATGCTACTAAATACATAATTTGGTAAATCAAAGCAATAAATCAACAAAAAAAAAAAATCTCAAATATTTCATAGACTAAATACGGAGACAACGTTCACACACATTTAAAAATAAAGACGTCATCCATAATATTACAACTCACTAAAAAAATATAAATAAATAAATTGTACGATACGGTAAGTGTAAATATATTTATTTTCAAATCCGGAACGATTAAAATACACAAGAACCGTTAAACTTCTCGGAAGGATCTAAATATTTGCTCAAATTTAAATATTCAAATAAATAAATAAATAAAAATTTACATTATTTGTAGTAAATTAAAATGCAAAAACCAAAAGCAGTATTCTTGAAAATATTTAACAGCTTTCCTTTACAATTCTTGAAATACTTGACAATGCAAAAGGTCATTGAAATGAAAAAAATAAATAAATAAAAAAAATGTCACCAGAAAATGAATGTAGTTTGTAAAGGGAAAGAAGTGAAAATTCTCTACAATACTCGAAATCAACCACCGCAATACCCCGAATACAATTTGAAAAACACGGGACAACCTATAGGAAAGTTGGAAAAAATAAAAAAAAGAAGAAAGAGCAAGAGAGAGAGAGAGGGAGGCAGATTTCTGCATGCATCTAAATATTGATCAAATGCCTTCTTACATAACCAGAACCATCTCTGCCATCGGTTAAACATTAGAACACACACACATATACTTAAATATAGAGCCTGTCTGCACCGTATCATTCAGCTATCGAAAAGGCTGTATATACAAAATTCGTACCGCAACACTTCATGTTTATGCATGAGGCATAACACATGCTGGATAAAAATGGACATTAGTGTGACGGTGGCGTGACGTAAGAGTCGACGAGGTTAGAAGTGCGTCGGACACGTCGACGACGCCTTCTAACTCTCGATACTTAACCGATTTGTTGCAAAAGTTTGTGGGAAAACACGTAATTGCGACAGTGTGCGAGACGAAGATGGCGTACGTCACGATATTTGCCATCCGATTGGCCGACGAGTCGTCCCCCTACCTGCTTTACATTTACGCGTATCCAGCTTTATAAATCGAAACGTCCGAAAGTCTACGGGACGTTTTACGACTTTCGGACTCCGGCTTGCATCGTTTAATTACCAATTTTCGACCGCTTACCTGACGTAAACATCGTCCTCTTCGGCTTATCCATCGCAACCACCGCAAAACTCAAAATGGAGTTGCAACCAGCCACACGTACCAGGACTAACTAATGCATCGACGCAGGAACGTTGAACCGAACACTTCCTGTCTCGTTTGATGGCGCGAGCGCTTTTAAATATCGTTCGCTTTGCTTATATTAATCCGTAATCGTTCGGATAAAAATTATTTGGGGGTCTCGGCCGCATGTCGGAACGTATGACGCACGTTCGACGAACATCGGTTCGTCACTTCACTTCAAGGACTTTCGGTGGCGGGTCACGTGGATACGCAGCACGAGGTTAGTGGCCTGCGCGTGCTACTGTAGGCGTGGATCAGCTGGACCCAATGCGTAGCACCAACGACATGTAGTTTTTTAAACATTCTAGGTATTTCTATGCCGAGTAACGACGATAAACGCTAACCAGATGAGACCGATCGATACGTAAAACACACCGAATACGGGAATTTGTAAAGTAAATGTCAACTTGCTATATCTGCATGGCAATATATACAGTATATAAATATTATACGTTCGCCTCCGTCCTTATTC